CACTCGGCCATAATATTTATTATACGAGAATAACTACAAACACAAAAGGTCGCCTGTTATCCCCACCTTTTTAACTAAATTACTGCGGCTGACGTGTCTAATAAAGATTGGATCTTTCATTGTGCCAAAGAACATTTGTATTTATTTTTAAATCAGTATATGTTATAAGAAAGCTCCTAAACTCTTTGTTTGACACTGAACTGTTTCCCCCCCTTCAGGTAACACCAACAATTTCCAAAATGCTTTCGAAGGAACCACCACCGAACCAGGGTATATTGCCTTAGCTTTTTACTCTGGAATTTTTTCCTATGCTGGATGGTAAGATGTGCAATATTGTAAGAATTCATTAGTAATTACCATAACGTTGAGATCCATGTTTTAGTAGAACTCTCTACATATAAACCTTGCCACAATTTTTACTGGCTGATTATAGTTTTAGTTTACAATTTCTCTCTCTTTTTTTTTTTTTAGTATGATTCATTCAAATAACATATCATCCGTTTGTTCTTGGCCTGGTGGTTAAGGTGCTCGACTCGCAATCCAAGGGTTACTGGTTCGAATCCCTGTCACCAAATATGCTCACCCTTTCAGCCATGGAGGTGTTATAACGTGATGGTCGATCCCACTGTTCATTGTTAAAAGCATAGCCCGAGATTTTGCATTGACTACCTGCCTTCCCTCTAGTCTATCACTGCTAAATTAGGGATGGCTAGTACAGATAGCCCTCATGTAATTTTGCGGGAAATTCAATACAAACCAAATTGTTTATTGTATTTATTAAAATATATTAAAACTCGTAATTTCTCCAACTGGTTATAGTTGTAATTTACAATGCATATATTTAGAAAGGAGTGATGTTGTTAAAATAACAGTCTGTAATCCATACTATTATGTAAATGATGTTTTAACCGTGATTTAAAAACCAATGTTTGAAGTTTGAGATTGACAAAATTTAATAATTTTAATTTAACGTTTTATTCAAATATTTTAACGTTTATTCTGCTCTTTAGTTCTTGTTAAACTTCATTATTTTACTGGCAGTGCTTTTCTTCTTACATTTTATTACTGCAAACTGTCACCTGTGAAATTGTTTCTAACTGCTATGTAGGTCTTGGTCAGTATTCAACTTAACAGGCAGATGCAGCCCATAAAGGTTTCATGGCCAAGTGGTCAAGGCGCTCGACTCGCAATCAAACCGAACATGCTTGCCCTTTCAGCCGTGGGGGCGTTATAATGTGACGGTCAATCCCACTATTCGTTGGTAAAAGAGTAGCCCAAGAGTTGGCGATCATGACTAGCTGCCTTCCCTCCAATCTTACACTGCTAAATTAGGGACGTCTAGCGCAGATAGCCCTCATGTAGCTTTGCGCGAAATAAAAAAAAACCCCATAAAGGTTTACATTGTTGCTGACTATTTTAAAAGCCAAAATAAAATATAATTTCTTGATAGATCTCTCTGGAGACCAAAGTCCTCTCAGTTTGAAGGTAATCATGATTACAGGATCGATAATGTTACTTTATATTGTTTTAAGTCTTTTTAGAAGTAATACTGGAGGATCTATATGGGTCATTAAAGAGTTAAGGCAAGTAGTTACTTCCATGTTCTGAGTGATTTATTTGTAATTAAGCACAAAGCTACACAATGGGCTATCTGTGCTCTGCCCACCACGGGTATCGAAACCCGGATTCTAGCGTTGTAAGTCCGCAGACATACCGCTGTACCACTGGGGGGGGCGTTCTGAGTGATACTCTAATAAATCATTTTCAGTGTGTTTAGCTTGTTTCGTTATCATAAAAAAAATGTTTCCCTCTCGTACTTATTAAAAATGGAAATAGACACTATTATAATAGTTTGTTTTATGTAGTTTCAACCAATTGTTAAGCCTACATCAATTATTAATATAGAATGTTACATTTTATAGTATTTAGTAACTTTATTTAAAGTTTTGCTGTATTTTTCTTACAGGAATTACTTGAATTTTGTCACAGAAGAACTGCGGGATCCCTACAAGTGAGCCCATTTTTAGTTGTGTGTGTGTGTGATTGAACGAAATAAAAAAGTGTGTTTAGTTCTAAAATACTACACTGGGATAAAATTAGTTGAAACTCGTATTAAAATGACGTAACTAGAAGTATATTTTGTAATTATCGTGTGAGCTAACATGTTTCATATAAATATTTAGTGTTTAAGTAGCCTGTGTTTGAAAATGTAAAATAACATACGAATGAAAATACTTTAAATTTATGCTCATAAGATATCTTAGATGTCAAGAAAAGTAATTTTACCATATTTAAAAAATATAAAGAGCTGTAAATTATAGTTTTGTTTCAAAATTTTCTATTTCACCCTGCAAATTAGTTTCTTGTTCTCTCTTCAGAAACCTTCCTCGAGCCATTTACATATCGCTCCCTGTGGTTACTGTGGTCTATTTTATGGCCAATGTGGCTTATTTTGCAGTCCTTTCTCCTCAGGAAGTACTGTCATCTAACGCAGTTGCGGTGGTAAGCTTACATATTTATAATTAAACACTTCAGTTAATGATCTCACAGATAATGTTTAATTATAAGCTTTGATTTCTTGACTAATAATGTCAGTCTGATGTTCATGTGAAGAATAAAAATACTTTTGTCCTTTGGAATGTTTTTTTTCTCAGTATCCCCGTACACCGTATTTGATATTTTCTCCAACACAAATCGTTACCAAATTAGATAAAAATAAATAGTTGATAACTGACATCAAATGCATAACATGTTGAATCGAACTCTGTATAAGGTCATAGCATGCACACTTTGACCCCCATCCATATGCATAGGGTTAAAATCAATGTCCCCCTATATTTTTTCAATCCATGTGTGGAATGCGTGCACCAGTATCAAGGCGACATGTGCTACCAGTTTTGTTTTTATTGATGGAGGTTTTTTTTTAAACCATCTACCCTATTGGATCATTAGGCTGCTTTTCAATGCTACCAGTTAGTTATTTGAGCTTTAGATCTAACGTCTGCCAGGGTCATTAAGGCACCTCACCATTACCGAGGATGTGTGCTGTGCGGCTGGAATAATGAAGTGTGTTGTGCGGCCATGCAGCTTGGAGGGAACAGTAGTTAAGATTAGCCATATAAGCAGTGGGTGCTACTATAGATCAGGTCAGCACTTGTAAGTTAACCAAATGCATACCCTATTATTTTACTTGCACTTTGCTACCCCCCCTTTCCCACCAAAACCAAAACATGACAATTAAGAGTTCTAAACAGCACACGTTTTAATAAAATTTCACTGGTCACATTTTTTGCTGGGAAGGTTAAAAGATTAAATATCAAGGCCATCATTTCTGTGTAAAAAAGAATATTACCTCATGACATCCAAACACACCGAAACAAAATAATGGCTATATTTTTTTTTTCCAGACGTTTGGAAAGAAAATTTTAGGAGTAATGGCATGGATCATGCCGGTGTCTGTGGCACTATCAACATTTGGTGGTTTGAATGGAAATATTTTTGCTTCATCAAGGTAGGACATTTTTATTGTCCAAAAATTAATAGCAAACCGTAGACTTGGGTTTCCCCCTTTTCGCCAATTTATTCCTGTCATGTGATATAAAAGAAAAATATTCAAATCAATTTTAACCAAACAGATAAAAATTTCAAACAATATGGATTTATTTATTAATTTGGTGTTTGATTCCTGCAATGGATGCACATTGTCCATTGTGTATCTTTGTACTAAAATGAATAAAATTAACCATTAAAATAGTATATACTATAAACTTGAATCTCGGGAACTTAAAGCCACTATTCTTATTTCTCATACCAAGTTTTAACTATACTTTATACTAGTTCTCTATAAAAGAAAGGAATAAAGATGTGTATACTACAATTAACTTAATTATTTGCCCTAATATTATCTTATGCTATTAATAAGTGTATCTTAAGTTCTCTATTTCTTGCCTTATTCATATATTCATAACACTACATGATTGTTAAATTTTGATATATGTTGAACCTCTAGCTCTGTAACAGTTGGCTAATTATTGTACACTACGAATGAAACAGAATGATTGTGTTAAGCCTATTTTGCAAGTCTGGCAATGAAATAGACTGATTGTGTTAAGCCTATTTTGCAAGTCTGGCAATACCAAAAATGTTTTTCTTGTCGTAGGTAAAACTGTAATAAACAAACAGTGCATGCAGGAAAATAAAGTGAGCTGGACAGCAAGAAAAGTGAAACACGGACGAATACAACAAAAAGATGTAACGTTCTGTATTTCACACAAAATGTTGTTTGTACTTACTCGTAATTATCGGCTGGTTTCTGATTATCCAACTCTTCCAAGTTTGATCAAAGTTCTAATGCAGTATTCAAGATCTTAGATTATCTATTTCAGTAGCCATTCTCATTAAATATTCAAGGCAGAAATTAACTCCCAGCTCATTCTAAAGTGTGTAACACCCCAGATGAGTAAAAGCTTTCTTGAATGACTACTGTGTATGTAACCTTCCTTGGCCATTGGATAATTATTCAAACAAGATCATGAATGTGTACGTCTTATTTACAAAGATATTAACGAAATGCAGCATGGCCGAGTAAGTTTTAAAATGTATTCACAAACATACGCGATTAAAGATCTAATTATAAAGGTTAAAACTATCGCAACGGTTACAAGTTTCAAAAGTTGTGTTTTCACGCTCTAAGAGTTATTACTTTATGTTCTTTGCTGTAGATTATTTTTTGTTGGAGCTCGTGAAGGACACCTTCCCGCTTTCCTAGCTATGGTTAACATATATCACTTTACTCCAATGTCAAGTCTAATGTTTTTGGTAAGTTGAAATATTGAATGATTACAAACTGCTTGATGAACTTTAATTAACGAATGTTATTCTGGGATAGTGTTTGTAGAAGTATTGTAACGAATCTAAAACTGAGCTGCTAGTGATGAAACGGTTACTTGGGTCAGTCATTATAACATACTCTTCTTAAAACTGGGTAATATTTCTTGTGCTTCACTGTAAAGTGCAAATAAAGTTTCAGGTGTTCAATAAAGTCCAATCATTCTTGGCATTGGGGAATAACTGAAAAATTAAGTCTTTCATACATTTCTTGTTGTCTAGAAGTTAATTAAAGACCTGCCAACTCTCTTGATTTAAGCGTAATTGTTTCAAGCCTGTACGAATTGTTGTGTTATTTTACAGTTTTATACAAAATTCCATAATTTTTTCACAGACCCCTTTTTCTGCTAATCGTTTTCCAGAAATTATTCCCAGCTCTCCGCTTTGCGTCTCAATCTTACAAAAAAATGATTGAAGTAGTTTATTAAAAGCAGAAGTTTAGGCAAGAATATTCAAAAAGGTTCACTGATACTGTATCATCCTCAAATGGTATGAAGTATGCAAGATTTGTTTGTGATTGCTTCATTGCTCACGGAGGAGAAAATGACAGCAAAAAACATCCCAAAACTGGATCCATTTTTCATAAAACACGATAGCAAGTCAGAAAATGATGTCATCAGAGCGGAGTGTTTATTCACCTCCTTCATTGTGGAACACAATCTTTCTTCGGTGATTTCATGAACAGGCTTCAAAATTGTTTTACTAAAATCTTCCCAGATTCAAAAATCACCAAAGGATACGACGGACTTTCCAGGATCAGAGCTGATAAGGAAGATGGAGATGGCATAAAAACCTTGTTTCTCCCAAGAATTTACAGATGATTTCTTAAAGAAAGCCACGAGTGTTACTTACAGGGCTCTTAATCAGTAATTAGTAAGTATTGAATAAAACATAATTAGTAGCGACACCATTTCTATTTTTCAAAATTTATTGTTGGCAGGTCTGTTCTTAGATTCTAAATCCAGCCAATTAAAATGTTACAGCCGCCTCAAAGGAGTTAAATATTATGTTGATATTGAACAAGTAACATAAATGTTTTTGTTATGTATTTTCCAGGGAGCTCTTTCTCTGGCTTACCTATCAACGATACAAGTGTACACCTTAATTAATTACGCTGCATTCAGCGAAGCTCTGTTCGTCATGTTTTCGGTGGCAGGTCTCATATGGTTGAGACAAAAACAACCATATCTGAAGAGGCCTATTAAGGTATTATTAAAAATATATATATATATCGTTTGTTTGTTTTTTGTAGTAATTATATGACCATTTATTTCTTTCATTCTGTAAAAATAGCTACAGAAACTAAAATATTTATTGTTGTCGTAGCGATAGGGTTAAGTTAACAATTATTCTACAAGCTAGTTGTATGTTTCTACCTGAAAATTGAATTATGTTTGTCATGATTTTCTTCAAGGTAAACCTTGTACTTCCTGCGTTATTTCTGGTCATTTGTACTTTCTTGGTGTTTCTGCCGTTCTACGTGAATCCGTGGGATACAGGTATTGGAGTGATCATCATGCTGTCGGGCATTCCAGTTTACTTGTTGACTATTCACTGGGAAAGTAAACCGTCGTGTTACAAACGTGCCATTGGTAAGTGACTTGTCCAATTATGTATAATTCCTTCTGTAGTTACTTATGCTTATGGCAGTAACTTTGTGAATAATAATATAAAAAAATCATGTTTTGTGACACGACTTCAACACTTATGATAATAAATATCAATTGTACAATTACCATTTAAAATTTGATGTTTAGAGCTCTTTTTCTAGCCCAAATATGAAGGCACGTTTCAACGTTTGGGTAGTTTAAATCTTTTTTATAGGTATTGTTTTCTCACCTGAACAACACCTTACGTACACAATGGCCTATTTAAGTAGCCACATCAAAGACTAAAGGTCGACCACCTACTCTCAACGTTAGTGGTTTTCCTGTCACTGTTATAACACCCACAGCTGAAATTGCAGGGATTCAAGAATGTCGGATCCCCATTCGTGTATGCTAATCAATAGGCCTTGCACATCTAAGCAACCCATAACATACATACATATATTAATGCGACAGATGAAAAAAACTCAATCCAAATTAAATGTCATATCTTTTCTGTACTTCCAGGGGGAACTACGACTTTCTCTCAAAAACTGCTTGTGAGTGTGATTGAGAAGAGCAAGTTTGACTGATCTTGTAGGAGTGAATCTCTCTCCTAAATCTCAACTACGGTTGACCATTTACGAAGTTTGTGTCTGCTTTTTATGTTGTTAAATCATTAAGAACTAGTTTACTTTGGCATTATTTGTATTTTACCTGCTCAGAGTAATGAAGCCAGGAAACACACGAGAGTTCACAGAGGCCTGTCCACCCCCCACCCCCTTAGAGAAAAAACAAAATAATGGTGTTCCAACCTTTCACTGAAATTCATTTACAAAAGTTGAGTGTGGTTATGATCTTACTTAAATTAAACAAACAAAACTCCTGATTCTGGGCTTGGTGGTAGTACCAAAACTTTAAAAATTGGATGACACAAAACTTGACGTAACGAGCCGATGTAGACCCGCTAAAACTAAACAACAAAAGTCAATGATATTTCCCAGACAGAAAGATACGTAATATCATGAAATATAACAGTTATCCAGTAAGTCTTCCAGTCTTGTCATAATGAGTTGGTGGGATTGAAGAAACAGGGGAGGGTGTGCTCAATGTTTTGCTGCAGTGCTCAATACATTTAGCAAGTAACTTTATTTTTCTCTACAATGGGAGTGATCAAATAATAAATTGTAGACTGTTTCATCATATTGTTGTCCAGCACCAACATCACACAAAGAACTGGGGGGGGGGGGGTAAATATAATGACGCAGTTCATTAAAATTCTGTACACCATTAATGAAAAATGTGAAGTCAACATGTTGTTGTATGTAGTGTTTATGGTCAGTCACGTGTTACAGAACTATCTAAGTGATCCAGCTGATGCTATCCTAAACGTCGTATATTTTGATTTGTTTGTTTTTTCTTCTCCATATAAATAAACTTTACTAGAACTGTAATTTTTTTTTTACAAAATTATTTGAGATTGTCACTGTGGGACCATGTGACTTGTATGTTGGTACCTACATTAGCTGTAAGATTACAGACCCTTCAATCTAACATTAGCAACTGCTGGCTGGAGTACCATAGTTATATTAAACCACCATAAATTCCCGAGTAAGTCTGTTTTTTTGGCTGTACAACTTCTTCAGGAACTATCTTTTACTTAAACTGATTGGCTCGAAATAACTCTAACAAGAATGTGGGATGACAGTCAATCATATAAAACTTAAGGTATCACCAATATTCAGAACATCAGTGTTAAGTTTTCAATCGTAAACACCAGGTAGTATGGGGTCATAGTGACCCCATGCTAACGTTCTTCAGTCTTGAATTTTGAACTTAGTAAAGCTTCTTTGTACATACCATCATAAAAATGTTAGTTAAAACTAGAATTCATAATTGTAACGGAGAGACAGACGTTTGTCTGCCATGATCTTCAAAGTAGAAGGTCCTTCCTTAAGAAGTTGTACAAAAAAACAACAACCATCTTATGCTGCAGTTTGTACTAGAGTTAGGGCCCATTTGTTTTTTCTTCCCCTCTGGGGAACAGAATTCTTAAGTTTTCAAACAGCATGAAAACAGGTATGTCTCTGTTTGTGCTCAAAAGGTTATTTTGTATATATATATATATAATCAAGTTTATTTCGGCTATAAGCTGTCATTAGTATTTTACGTACAAAGTGATTAAGTAACTTATTTCAGTATTGTTAAACTAGCATCCTGCTTTGTGGATAAGTTAACAAGACTCTTGGTTAAAAATAAGATCAACTTGATATCATAAGTACTTTAAAAAAACTGTGTAATGTATTTCTTTAAAATTCAAAAATAAATTAAAATATACACAGAGAAGTTGGTGTTGAATTGATCATACAGACTTTAAAAAACAAGTCCCAGGGTTAATTCTGGTTCATCATATGTTCCTGCTAGTGGGTCTCACATGAGATTTACAGTGGCTAACACTAAATAAGCAATTGAAACTTTTCCGACTGATGCAAATCCTCGGGAAAACTGCACCATTACAGTAACTATTTCTTTTCTGCAGGGCCTTTCACAGTTCTATTTATTACAAGTAATTTGTAAATGTCCAATGAAATGGTAAGGAGAAAAGTTCTTCAAAGTTAACTTTGGTTAAATGTACACAAACTTTTCTTTATAGTGTTCAAAACTTTTAAAAAAATGATAAGACATAAAGTATATTGTGCTAAATTTGACAGAGTAATAAACACACAACCTGTACATCACACTTTAACGTAGGTTGCTTACCTCTTTAGAAGGTTTCACGTTAAAACAGTCCTTAAGGAGCTGCTGCCATCTAGTGTTAATGAATATTACTCTTGTCACAAAGTGGAATATAATGTAGAGCTGTGACCGAGTGAAAAGACCAAGATTATTGAAATAGCTTGCAGAAAAATACAAATTTAATATGTTGTTTTTATAAATAATAGTTTTATTTTATCATTTCAAATCAATATAAAACTCTAGCTTAATTTAAAAAGACATTTTTATTCTACAGAAACCACAATTTTACATATTTACTAAAAATAAGAATATTTCAGATATGTCCAAGGCACTGATGTAGCAGATTCTATGTAACATTTTCACAATACACAGCTTTGACTTAGCGGAAGGACATTATAAAAACCTATTAAGACTGACATGCATGTTTGGATATTATGGTGTGCTAACACAAATCAAACCAAGAATGTTGAAGTTACTTTTTTTTCAGTTAAGAATTTTGGAGTTCTTTTAGTGCCCACTGTTTGTTTTCAATCTCTGCCTTCAGGTACGAGTATTCTTGAACCAGCCGGTCGAAATCTTCACCAACAGACTCGTAAGCACTTAATGCCATCGTTGCTTCTGATACTTCCTTGGATACAGATGTTTTGTTTTTATTGAGTTGGTCTCTGGAATGTATAAACAGGAACTTATTAGCGTTTTTAAACACACCAGTTAGAGAAACTAAAACCGTACATGCATATATATAAAACTACTAAAGACATTTACCTTTCTTTCTCAAAATAAAAATCACTAATTTTCTAAGAGATCTCGGCAATAATTATTGATGTTTTGTGTGTGACTTATGTAACAAACAAGTCATGGACCAGCAAACAGCTTTGGGAGGGGGGGGGAAGAGTTTAAAAGCCAGTTGGTGTTTTGGTGGTCAAAACTTAACTATTATTAGAAGTCCCCCCCCACACACACATTTTTTTTAATATTTAACCTCACCTTATGACCTTCAGAGCTGAAACACAGTCTGTTGTATATGTTTCGCACATAATTTCAAGTTCCACAACTCTGAAATGAAAAAAAAAAATTCTCATTTATTGACTAGGTTGTTAGTTCATTACTTCATGCTTGGAGATCAATTTGAAATAATCTCTGTACAACATTGAAGAAAGGAAACCAGAAGATTCTTAGTTTGTAAGCTTTAAGATAAACAACAGTCAAAAGTCCAAGCACACTCTGTTGACCGTTCTACTCAGGGGGAAAAAAACGACCACAAGACCAAACTCATTTTGTAGTTTAAATTAGTAACAGAAATAATATTTCTTTTAACTACGCATCTATTTTTCCTCGCTTCTTTAAAACAAAAACATGAGATGTAAGAATAAAGATAATGATAATTAATGTAAACTTTTCTTTAAATACCTACCTAGCTTTTAACAGCAAGGCATCACACTTAGAAATGAGATATTCCCCAGTGATTGAATCGTAGTCAACCTGCGACTTTAATCTGTGGCTCAAGAGTAACTTCTTAAGGACATTAACTGACTCCATAAGTGTCTAGCAGTAAAAACAAAGAAAAACATTTAATCTACTAGAAATACGCACTTCATGAAATACCCAATAAAACTTATTGTTGGCTTCGAGTTCAATGTAGTAGACAATAAAAGCCATTAGAAAGATTTATTTAGTTCACCAAACACAAATTTTGAGATCATGGTATTAATGTATATATAAAATCAACTTCCTCAACAAGGTAAAGCATTTTAAACTTGCCATATCTGAAAATAAATATCAAACGGGGCGACAAATTCAGTTTAGTTACATTTGAAAATACCAGGGGGAGCTTCAGCAATAAGTGATTAAACATATAGTAACTACACTGGTCTAACATTAAACAACAAGATAGACATATAGTTACTGATCTACACCGGTCTAACATTAAACAACAAGATAGACATATAGTTACTGATCTACACCGGTCTAACATTAAACAACAAGATAGATGTAAAATAAAGGTATAAAATAAGTCATACATCCCACTTATTTCATTTATCAGTAAAATCAGGCACCTGGTGATCAGTCATGTGGTCCAAAACATCAGTAATTGGTCAGTAAACCTTTATTACAAAATTTTGTCACTCTGAGGTGAGTGACAGAAGTTAAAGTGCTTCAGATTGTTGAAGAAATATTGCTACACCCCAGGATAGACATTTGGATGTAGAACCATTGTACAAGTCAGCCAGTCACAGCACACTGTCGCAGTCTTAAAACCATAAAGCTGTTCGCACACCACTACAAGTCAGCCAGTCACAGCACACTGTCGCAGTCTTATAACCATAAAGCTGTTCGCACACCACAAGTCAGCCAGTCACAGCACACTGTCGCAGTCTTATAACCATAAAGCTGTTCGCACACCACTACAAGTCAGCCAGTCACAGCACACTGTCGCAGTCTTATAACCATAAAGCTGTTCGCACGCCACAAGTCAGCCAGCGAACAGCTTTATGGTTATAAGACTGCGACAGTGTGCTGTGAAACACAACTACAAGGCACTACAAGTCAGCCAGTCACAGCACACTGTTGCAGTCTTATAACCATAAAGCTGTTCGCACACAAAGACAAGGCACTACAAGTCAGCCAGTCACAGCACACTGTCGCAGTCTTATAACCATAAAGCTGTTTGCACACAAAGACAAGGCACGCCATTTCTCTCAGATTGAAAATGTCTGCAGCTACAACCAGATGCTGTGTCGGTGTACAGATGGTCAGACTGTGTAGATACCAGTCACTTGTAACAAGACCATACAGTTTTCCTGTAGCCAGATAACAGAGCAGACCTTCTAGCACTGTGTGATGCTGGCAACCTTTGAAGTAACGGTTGAAACAGAGGCTATTTAACATAAATCATTTCGAGGCTGAAGCATTACAGAAAACAGGTTAAAATTAGCTGTTGAGTAATTAAGGTTTACTGAGAGGCCCTTAAACAGGTTTGTATTTATTTAGACAAAACCTGGAATAAGATCTTCCCATTTTCAAAAAAGGAAGTATGACATATAATGGGGGTGGAAGGACAGTGTGAGCAGGAATGGGTATTACTGAACTTACTAACCTCTATAACCAAGTATGACATATAACGGGGGTGGAAGTACAGTGTGAGCAGGAATGGGTATTACTGAACTTACTGACCTCTGTAACCAAGTATGACATATAATGGGGGTGGAAGTACAGTGTGAGCAGGAATGGGTATTACTGAACTTACTGACCTCTATGACTAAGTATGACATATAACAGGGGTGGAAGTACAGTGTGAGCAGGAATGGGTATTACTGAACTTACTGACCTCTATAACCAAGTATGACATATAACAGGGGTGGAAGTACAGTGTGAGCAGGAATGGGTATTACTGAACTCACTGACCTCTATAACCAAGTATGACATATAACGGGGGTGGAAGTACAGTGTGAGCAGGAATGGGTATTACTGACCTCTATAACATGTAGAACAGTACCACTAATCCAATACTTAATATGGACCACATCTTGTGATTCTTTGACCTACCATATGCCAGTGCCATTGTCCTTGATTTCTATCTAACAGATGATAACACAAATCACACAGCGCATTCCTTGAAGATGTCGTTGCTATCACATTCATTGGACTGTACTACCATAAAGCACGTAAGGGATGCTCTTGGGAAATGTATCACATTCCATCACATGACCCCAGATGCTAAAGATGCCCTGAAAACAGCCCTTCCAAAAGGAGTGGTCAAGAATAACCAAAGACCATTGGACTGTACTACCATCAAGCACGTAAGGGATGCTCTTGGGAAATGTATCACATTCCATCAAGTGACCCCAGATGCTAAAGATGCCTTGAAAACAGCCCTTCCAAAAGGAGTGGTCAAGAATAACCAAAGACCGTAATATAAATATGTACCATCAGTCCAGGCTTTCCCTGTTGTTCGTGGTCACTCCATCCTATACGTCAACCACGACTAGCACATAGTCATGAATGATCGTCGGATGCTTGATTCTTCTCAAGATTAAATGTGGGAAAGGATCGGTAGTGTTATTTCTTCATGATAATTTTGACATTACAAATTCCAATGATTCTTTAATTGTTTTGAGTATTATAAGTCAAATTTCTGTCTACTGTTACCAATATGTTTACACGTTCGAGCTCATATCTGACTTCCAACAAAAGAAGTCATCGAGATCATTTCTTGAAAAAAAATATAACTCCATACCGATAAGTTTTTACATCGGAAAGAGCAAATCACAGCTAAAAAAGTTCTTTAAAAACAAATAATAACAATGCACACACATTTAAATATAACAAGAAATTATCAAAGTCATAACTTTTAGATTTCACTATACCTGAAAATGTTCCCAGATAAGCTTATCCTTCCTTTCATGACTGGCATCTATTTTCTGTTTCCTTTCCTCTACCGTTTGTTTCTGAGCATCCAACTTCACGGCCAACTGGGACATCTTTGCAGAGATAAGCTTATCGCTTGTTTCACCTGAAGAATTAGATCCAATTGTTGTTCCTAGTCAGATCAGATGTTTTTTATACTGTCCCAAATATTGCACCACGTCAATTAATTTTATGTTTTTACCTGTTACAGCACCGAGTATAAACAAGTGTCCAAAACAAATTCGGTCATTTTCTGTGTAAAATAAATAGGAGATCGTAGTGGTAACTAGTAGTGGAATTAACTGAGGTATTAATGATGTTTTTTGTTTACATTTTATATGACCCTTAAGCTATTAAAGACCCTATGGCCAACACAGGACCCATAAGTAAGTTGTGCAAAAATCTTTTAAAATATGGTTTACAAAAGTAGATAAGGTTTACAGTCCATCTGTAATTTTTGAGTCAATATAAAGATTTTTTAGTTGTTCATGTTAATTATATTTTCATTTTGTCTACTTATTAAGATATATATAAAACAAACCTTACTTCGTTCTAAGCCTTAACAACTGGCTACAGCTGAAGAACACTCCATGTTTATTTATAAAACAGTCAGAAGGAACAGCTGACTGAACTTTGGGGTGACTCACTTGTAAGACTAAAATTTTCTTGCAAATTTATCACGGCCTTCAGTGAGGTGGGGATGGAGGGATAGTTAACACTCAATAACCATAAATACAGATTCATGCACGAGATATTTTTGTAAAACTTTTCTTTAATAGATCATGTGATACTTGTTTTCTATCCTAACAAACAAAGCTTAGTTGAAAAGCTCATTCCAACGGATGTTTAAACATCACTTGATGAAAGTTTTGGGTGAAAAGGAAGAATAAAATTCCCAATAAGTACAAACTGGGAAACTAAAGTCAGATGGTTCAGATAGTTTGTAAGTGTTGCTTGTGTCTGAGCATTCAGCTTCAAAACCAACTTCGATATCTTTGCAGCAATGTTTGTTAAGTTTGACGGAAAGCTACACAAGGACTATCTGCACTAGCTGTCCCTAATCTAGTAATGAAAGACTAGAGGGAAGGCAGCTAGTCAACACCACCCACCTAGAATTCGTGGGCTACTCTTACGAACATGGGGTTCGAAAATGTGAGCCATAAATTGTGAATTGAGTTTTCTACAACATTATCACTTGTTTCTAGACCCCACGTTAAACATCACTAACCAACCTTAGTTCCAGGCCTTTCTGATTACATAAATCTATAGAAAACCATAACCAACCTTAGTTCCAGGCCTTTCTGATTACATAAATCTATAGAAAACCATAACCAACCTTAGTTCCAGGCCTTTCTGATTACATAAATCTATAGAAAACCATAACCAACCTTAGTTCCAGGCCTTTCTGATTACATAAATCTATAGAAAACCATAACCAACCTTAGTTTCAGGCCTTTCTGATTACACAAATCTATATAAAACCAAGAGTTTAAATATAATCAACCGTTAAAAGTATAACATCAAAGTATAAAAAAAATGAATAAGACTCAAAAAATAGTCATTTTCAACAAATTCACAATAAAACGCGTGATTATCAAATTATTATTTGTACAATAAAACTTATTTCTGCTTGTATTAATATTAACCTCAAAATGTTATAATATGTCTCTCTGTTCACGTGATAACACAGAAGATAAAAAACGTTTCCACAAATGATGCAATTCTTACAAAGAAAAAATAAGAACATATTGGAAGCTTAATAAAATGTTACTTTATCACAGAGTTACAAAATGCCCTATCTGCTCTCTGTCTATCCCGGAGGATACTCAGATTCGAATTAAACAAGTGCATATAAACGAAAAACAAGAGAGAGAGAAATACTAGATAGCAGGTTCTACTGCAAGGTACATACCTTGACCAAGAAAGTTCAAAATAGCTTTACATCTCTTTAAAACACTCTCCTCTATCTGCTGAACCATTTTATTTTTCACAATCTGTAAGAAACAGGACTGAAATGAGCACAAATTACCAGAAACAACATTATGTTATCATGAGGTATTCGTAGCATTTATCACTTATAAACAGAAACTTGTATTGATACAGGAATTTTAGTTCTTTCACCCTTTACAGCATACATATTCTTTGAAGTTTAAAGAAAATCTTATAACCAAAAAACGAATATCTTGCAACTGTTCACGGTAGCTGGTGAGAGACAGAATTGTTCACAGTAACTGGTGAGAGACAGAATTGTTCACAGTAACTGGTGAGAGACAGAACTGTTCACAGTAGCTGATGAGAGACAGAATTGTTCACAGTAACTGGTGAGAGACAGAACTGTTCACAGTAGCTGATGAGAGACAGAACTGTTCACAGTAGCTGGTGAGAGACAGAACTGTTCACAGTAACTGGTGAGAGACAGAACTGTTCACAGTAACTGGTGAGAGACAGAATTGTTCACAGTAGCTGGAGAGAGACAGAATTGTTCACAGTAGCTGGTGAGAGACAGAATTGTTCACAGTAACTGGTGAAAGACAGAATACCATGAAACTGATCTAATCCACAGATATAAAGAAAAATCACAATCTAAAGGGCCTCACATTTCGTTTTCACCAAAATAAACATTTTTGTTCATAAGAAAACACAAATAAAGTTTGATTACAGTACAGTAATTGGTGATTGGTTAAAACTGAAGAAACAAGAAGTCAAAGTTTCGTCAAAGAATATTCATAATTCAGAGTATTAAAACAAGCCTCACACATTATGATACTGCTGTAGAATACAGTATGACACTGCTGTGTAATACATGATGACACTGCAATGAAATACAGTATGAAATACATCACCTGTGGATTTTCATGAAATTGGTCTGTTGAAATGGGAGTTGGGAAACCATTATCCTAGCATACTAGATGGATTATGGAAAGCAACCAGGCAAGAGTGGCATGCATTGGACATGAGCATTACAATGGTGCTTTGGCCATGAAAACTACATTCTAGAGCTATTGCCAAAATGCATGGTAGGATGTTACCACAGGGAATATAATCCTGTGGTTAGGCTCCAAAATTACAATCAACCTCTGTAGAGATTTATATAACACGAGTAACTTGTCATGCTTTCTTATATTCAATAATAATTAGGTGGTATATCACATCATGGACTTATCAATTTAACAATGTAAGACGAGAACAATTAACGAGGAATTTAAAATACTCAAGCATTTAACTAGTATAACCTTTTAAGGAGTGGACAAGTTATATTTTAAAGCTTTATATTTTTGCATTTTATAGGATCCACATGTTTCTCTAAGGGTTAAAGTAAGCAATCTGGATTTTAATACTTGGAGACGGCTTGAATGGGTAATGAAGAAAAATATAAGTTTAACATAACAACAAATGTACAACGTTTCAACAAGGTTTAGTCACCATTCAAGCTGTCTCCAAGCATTGTTAGTCTCAAAGTTAGTCATTGAATTTGAAACCTGGCTTTACGTTAGTTACGCACCTCTTCTGCTGCAGCTGGTGACTGAACCGTGAGAAGTGTTGGAGTGAGTCCTAGCATGTGGCATGATTTTTCCTTGTTCAAAGAGCTGTCATTGCTATGCACATCAAGGTAGTTAGTCAGCTCAGCATTTATAAAACAGTTTTTGAGGTCAGAATAAATCTGGAAATGTAGGAGAAAGTTTACTGATATGACCATACAAATGTTTCAATCATCATTCTACCACCAGTCACTTTATCTAATCAAAATAAACAGTATATGCAGCAATTACTGACATTCAAATTAACTGACTTTGGAAATGTTATTAAAATTTAAGTAATAAATAAATGAAATACAAAAGCACAGTGAGAAAAAGCATAACTGAAATAAAGAAATTTAATAAATATAATTTCTCATCAGAGTAAGCTATGTACTTAGAATGAAACTATAAATCACCTGACTATCGGTATTTCTAATTAACAACTTGTAAAGATTAGAATACATTGTTTTATGATCTGGGTACCCTCTCTATAAACTTGATAATATCACAGGAGGTTTTGGCAGCTAAGAAGACTTAAATTAGTCATAAATAAAAAATCTAAGCTAACATTATCAAGCATTCTTTATAATAAAAGTGTGATAATAAAGGACAAATAAAAGTAAATACATTTACCAATATTATTAATGAAATGAGCAAAAAATAAACAAAACAGGTCTACAAAAGATTAGTGAAAAATGGTACGGCTAAAGAAATGTTAAACGTTTTTATATGGATATTGGAAATTTAAAAGAAAATAAACATTTTACTGTGAAATTTTTTTAAAACATCAATAATTATTTACAAACATTAAAAATAAACACCTAGTACAGACCACAGTACTTTTCTTTAAGTAACTAACATTAACTTCTAAACAAAAGAAGGTACCTACCACAAATCAGAACTAAAAATCATCTTGGTAGTGAGTATAGCTAATCAAGTATTATAAAAATTAGGATACATAATTTCATTGATTAGGTGTATGTACCCTCCCTCTTAGCAATATTTTCAACCAATAATATCTTATGAGATACGGCCAGCGTAGAATATTTAGGTTAGTCTTAAATAGACATATTAAGTTAACAATGCAAAATAATCTTTATAAAAAAAATAAACATAACAAAAACAGGATTAATAACAATAAAGACAGGATTAATAACAATAAAAACAGGATTAATAACAATAAAGACAAGATTAATAACAATAAAAATGGGATTAATAACAATAAAGACAGGATTAATAACAATAAAAACAAGATTAATAACAATAAAGACAGGATTAATAACAATAAAGACAGGGTTAATAACAATAAAAACAGGATTAATAACAATAAAGACAGGATTAATAACAATAAAAATGGGATTAATAACAATAAAGACAGGATTAATAACAATAAAGACAGGATTAATAACAATAAAAATGGGATTAATAACAATAAAGACAGGATTAATAACAATAAAGACAAGATTAATAACAATAAAAACAGGATTAATAACAATAAAGACAGGATTAATAACAATAAAGACAGGATTAATAACAATAAAAACAGGATTAATAACAAGTTGTGTTTTTATTTATGTAGGTATAGTGAGAGATTGTATACTTTGATGATTTCTGTAGTTCCTAAATGGTCCCTTTTTAGTTTTGGGTTGGTGTAGGAGAAGAATTTCACCACAAATTATTTTCAGACCTGTTTCATATTGATACCTTTAGACATACTGTTGACTTTATTTACTCAAATTACAAACCCCCTATTTTGACTCCACCAAATGTAATTCTAGGTAACAGTATGGAGGCAAAATAGTGGTTTGTAGTGTGAGTAAATAATGTCTACAGTATCTCCGGCCCTGTTTCCTTACTTTTCTTACGATCCCTATTTGTGGGTCTTTAAATTCCCAATTTTTTATTTGTCTTGTAAGCATAACAAATAATTTTATTGATGGTGGAACATTGGTTTGTCTTCTTCAGGTATTATCAGTACTAAGTAGTACAAGACTTTTATATTGTTACAAGGATTAAACGGGACATAGGTAAAAGTCAAGTGTATGAATGGTGACTAGTCCTTGCCACGTATGGCTGATGCTGCTATGGCCATTATCACTCCCTGTTTCCTTACTTTTTTACTATCCCTATTTGCAGGTTTTTTTTCTATCTTGTCTACTAGCTTTTTTAGGCGTAACTATGGGCAAATGATTGCTTGACATGGTAGCTAACTTTATACATTGTAATGATAATAAACATAGCTAATAGCTAGTTCATACGGTTCATGATGATTTACTATAGCTATTGACTATTTGATCACATTAGTTTGAGATGTAAAATGTAAAGCAGCAGCTAGAAGTTGTCATGGAGATTTGTTTGAGAATATAGTGAACATTTATAGTTTCTGTGTAACTAAATTCTCTATGTGTAATGCATAGCAATGGGCAAATATATGCCTAGACTAAGACACAACCTCCACTAAGCACATGTAAATTTTACCAGAGGAAATGCAGCCTTTTCAAACAAACATATATATGTCTAAAACACTGCTTTAAATAAACCTTCATCTCTTTTAATGCAATTATTCTATGAATGTGTGGAATAAAATTTTAATTTTATGTAAAATGATTTTTTTACTCCTTCACTTCATACATACTATAAGGATTGGCTCCATAAAGACACTGATTGTATAGTGTACAAAGCATTGAGTATCTACATGTTACAGTCATCTAATGTTCTTCTGTTATTGGATGGTAATTTCCATTTCATTCTGTACTTAAGCTTTTTATAGGAACACCAAAAAGCTAATTTCGAGGGGTAATGAGAACATCGTTTACACTAGAATTATGTTTTTTAGCTTATGTAAAATAAAGAAGAAACAAATAAACTTTTCAATACCCCTATGACCTTCACAGTACCTTATTTAGTATGCTACAACAGGTTTGGGTGCAGCATACCAAGCCGTTTTTGTTGTAGGCTGGCAAGAGAATAATAAGAAGAATTAGAAATGGGTCATTTGGAGCAGATTTCCTTTTCCTTTTAAGTCTTAATATACATGCTTTTTTTGTGCATTTTTATACATGTACAGCCTTAGCAGTCAATCATAAAGGTTTTAAAGTGTTATTTAAACTGAATCTTTAATGTTTAAGGTGCTTTTTGCCCAATTATTCTATTAGGGTTTTGTGAAGTTCCTTCCAATCCCTATTCTGAACCATTATGTGAACCATCATTATATTAGCATAATGTGTTTCCTCACTCAAGAAAGTTTACATTTCACAAGTCTTATTACCTGTATCTCTTCTGTAGAGAGTACCGTCTTCCGACTGCTGATGTCAAAATTAAGTAATAATTCCTGGATTATGTCATAAACAATGAGATCTTGAAAATAAGCAAGCTTCTCTTTCTTCAGTTCTTCCTCTGCCTAAGCACCCAGAAAATAGAACATTGTAACCTCATGCATATTATTATGATTTAATCAGTTTTAAACTAGTAAGCAGAGTTTTATGAAACATTCCTTGTTGAAATGTACTATGATGATCTCTTTTGAGTATAAATTTTTTAACTTAAAGAGTTCTCTTAAATTTTTTTAAGTCTTTAAACTTTTATCTCTTGAGTTATAGGTTTTAAGGTGATTATATTAAAATGTCTTACTAATTATTATACAATTTTAAAGAATGAGAATGGGCAAAGGAAAACAAAATCTGAAAAAATTTAACTCTAAAGCCACGATTCTCTTGTGGATGTTTTCCACATATTTGACAGTTCTCTGTGCAAAAACTGTAGAGCAACCCTTGTACTATAATTTCTAAGTTTGTTGGATAACGTTTTTCCTGGTAAGTCACCCGTTTCCTAGTTCTGACTTCATCGTTCGCAGATTACTCCTAACATCAAACGTAATTTCTAGTTCTTTCTCCACTAGTCACACGTAAATTTTAACCAAACTATTGACTCCTCTAACCTTCACTTCATTCATGATGCCACTTTTATTTTCATTACATCTTTTAAATGAAACTGACATGCAAGTTTTGAATGCAATTTTTTGATAAAAAAAAATCAATGCCATAAATATGCCATTTTTTTATCATTGGGAACACGTATTAAATTGATTCTGATAGTTCAAATTTTTTATTAGTTGTATGCAAAATATCAAAATGCAGATAAAATGTTGTTGTTGTGCATGACTCAAATATGGTGGCACTTGCTCAAGAAAGCTTGACTTTGAACTTGTTTTATTTTTGAGTGTTATTCAAACTGTAGACTAGGCAACAAAGTATTATCCTCGAACCACCCCTACAGCTCCCTGAATCTCGTGAACAACCCTGGGATACATCAAGAAGCCACAACTATGCCAATTCTTGGAAAATTCACCTCCCTAATTTTTTTGTTGCATTAATTCGAGTTGCTTTTTCAAATGGACGTTTCAATAGTTATTCTTTTTGAAACTTGTATGTTTTACTATTGTAGAACAAAAAATTGAAATTTAGCCATTGTATCTATAAAACTAGTTAATAAACAGAGTTTGAAATAGTGAGTGTAGTTTTAAATTTTATTCTATAACTATATATTACACACATACATTTTGGGATTAATAAAAACTATTGATCAGTGTGTTCAATATATAAACTTTTCTCCAGATTAATAAAAATTATACGATTACTTTAACTTGTAGTAAGCTATTACACAAACTGATAATTTCAAAAACTCAGTAACTTTATACCCAAGGAACCTGCCAAATACAGTACAGAAATGTACTTATGCTGGTGGGGTTGGAGGGGCTATATATATAAACTTATGTATTTCATTCTAATATGCATGTTACTGTTTATGTATCTAAAAACATTCTTCATGGGTAATGTACTTTTACTTTGTTTTACCGTAACTGCAGATGTGTTTACCAAACTAATCTGAACTTGTAAAAGACCTCCTCTTATTTCTGCCAGTGTCCTGCCGAGGCTCGGTCGTGGGGACGAAATTACAAGTAGGTCACTAAAGCTTAATGTAAGGATGAGCAGATTGGCTTGATTTGTGGGATCAGTTTGACGGGAAAAGATAGTTTTGTGGAATGGATGGCTTACATTTTAAATAGAGTTGGGGCAGGAAAGCTACTGATTCAGCTGTAAGGGCTGGTGGATATTAACTTATTATCATCTTCTTCATATTAATCATTTTAAAACATTATCTAACTTGTACTTCCAAATGCCCTGGTAATATGGGCAATAACTAAGAACCTCTGAAGGGTTCTGGAAATAGCCACTAGGGCAGTAGCACATGGAATATTGTAATAGCTTTGACACCCGTAAAGATGAGAAAGGAATAAAACAAGGAGATTTTAGAAAGCCTATGGGGCATACCCAGGCCCCCTTGATAGTTGCATGTTGAAAAGGAGGCCAGAAAGTTAGAAATATTTCATTACAGATAGACAAAGCCACCTTACAGTAAATACTATAATCAATTTTGGACTATATGGTTTAAGTTTAATCTGTGAACTACAGTTGTTAACATATTTTAACCTACGTACATTGCTAAAACTTCATTCAACAAAATACTATAATTTTGTTATCAACATTGATGCACTCTCAACAATCATTTTAGACAGGGGGGTTCCCAAACTTTCTTAGCAGAAGACCACTCCAGAACATTCTTCTTCTTGAATCCCCCCCTCCCCATCCAATGAATCTATAGATATTAGGTACCTTAACAGTATTGTGTATTTGTTATGACCCTCTGAGATCTTTTTGGAGCCTCCAGGAATGCTACAGAATCCAACAATAGACTAAAAGCTATCAAACTGGAAACAAACGAAGCTGTTTCTTCTATCACAACAAACATATTCTGTAAACATACTTGTTTAACTTCCTCTAACACGTGTTTAGAAGTTCCTTCAGGGCTTACATGATCACTCAACTTCAAGAGAAGGTTTTGAAACTGTGGAAACTTCTTCAGGTGTTCTTGTGAAACATAAACTGGCAAAATGTTGTTTACTGCAGAGGATTAAAGAAAACACAGATCAGGCCACAATTTTATCAAATATAACTATCTCCTTATATCTCGAATATGGAACAAATTAATATAAACATTTAGTTTTAAGTGATTTGAAGACAAAGTATATATATAAGGGTTTCGTTACATAAAAATACACAAGAGCTAAAACTCAGTGATGACCTTTTAACTCTTCAATTCTACACAAATGTTGACTACACCATCAAGGTAAGTGGGTTAGGGTGTCAACAGTGAAAAAACATTTGGGAACCATTGTGTTAGACGTTTCAATGTAAAACAGTAAGAAACTATATATAACAGTATGTGGGATTCAACCATGTGATGTAAGAAACAATAAAAATGTTACTGAGTAGTTTAATTTTGTCATTTTATTGCAAAGCTGCATAAATGGCTAACTAGCTGCATTTTGTCTAACACAGGGATTAAATCCCAAACTCTTAACACTAAGTCCCTGAAGCTTACCACTGAGCTATGCTAATGGAGGACATTATCATTAACATACATGTAAGTGTTGACACTATGGAAGGAAACGTCATAATACAGGATCACTGGAAGACATTACTATTAACGTACATGTAAGTGTTGTTGACACTATGGAAGGAAACGTCATAATACAGGATCACTGGAGGACATTACTATTAACGTACATGTAAGCTGTTGACACTGTGGAAGGAAACGTCATAATACAGGATCACTGGAAGACATTACTATTAACGTACATGTAAGTGTTGTTGACACTATGGAAGGAAACGTCATAATACAGGATCACTGGAGGACATTATTATCAATGTACATGTAAGCTGTTGACACTGTGGAAGGAAATGTCATAATACAGGATTATTGGAGTCACATAACTGTAAATTTCAAGCTGTTTGTTAGATTATGAGATACTGGGGAGTATACACAGTGTCTAAACTTTGTGGTCTAATTACAAGATTACTCTTCTCAGAAAACAACGTACAATTTTAAAACATATTTGGAGACGATATGTCAAACAAGACAGATCATAGTATACATCTATTACAGTCTGTATGACGGGGCACACAATCTGTTGTTTTACATTTTAATACAACGTGTTTGGAAAGTGCAACAATGGCACGTTACAGTTTTGGTTAAAATAATAAATGTTACTTTTTCATCACAGTGTAACACCTCAAATAATTTAATTACTTGCAAGTCCTACAGTTTGAAACATTATCCAGGAAGCTGGGGAAAAGAAAACTTAGTAAGTAGTTGCAATGTTTAGATTTTTATTTAAGATATAATTTTTGATCAAAATACGAAATATAGTCTCTTGTTTTAAATAGAAGTTATTTATTTCAAAAATGTGAGCTGTATCACCTTGTAAATTTGTTTGTTTGTTTTTAATTTTGTGCAAAGCTACACGAGGGCTATCTGCGCTAGCCGTCCCTAATTTAACAGTGCAAGACTAGAGGGAAGGCAGCTAGTCATCACCACCCACCACCAACTCCTCAGCTACTCTTTTACCAACGAATAGTGGGATTGACCGTCACATTATAATGCCCCCATGGCTGAAAAGGCGAACATGTTTGGTGTGACGGGGATTCGAACCCGCGACCCTCAGATTGCGAGTCGAGCGCCCTAACCACCTGGCCATGCCAGGCCTTGTAAAAGTAGATCAAACAAAATAACAAGTGATAAAAAATAGATAGACTAAATACAACAATTTTAAATCACATTAAATACACCAGCTAAAACTACTGCATAAGCTGGCCAACTGTTGTACAACTATTACAGCCAAGTAGATTTTGGAGCCAAGGTTTAAGTGCAAAGTTCAGTGAAAAAATTGTAGTGTTAGATGAAATCAACTCATAAAACATCCAAAAAACACATCAACAATTCCATGCCATTAGATCAAAAGTATGGCTTTTAAAAGTATAGCTTAAGTAATTCTGTCTTAACAAATCAAAATATGTTGGTCAATTTAAAATGTTTATAACTGTTCTAACGTTGGTAATGATGTTGTACACATCATGGTAAATATTGACATACAATTACACATTTATAATGAACAGTTCCAGCATTATATTATAGTATTTTGATAAAAAAAATATCAGATTTATTGTAATCTCAATACTAACACCACATATGAATTGTGTCAACAATGAAACTGTTTTTAAATCACATTTTATTTTTAATAATATACATAGTACCAACTGTTTAATTCACTATTCCTCACTGTATGTAAAAATGGTACACCATCACTCACAGAACCCAACTTTCTGTTACTCTGTGAACAAACTGGTCTTGGAATATGGAAAGCAATTTAACCTTCATCAATTGGTTATTTCCCGTAGTGAAATCAGTCCTAAAATCAATATAAAATTAGTATTTAACTAAGCCTTTGGTCATTTTTCATTCTTCAGAAAGGTAGGACGGGTTATAAATCAAGTAGTTTAAACGAAGCGACTAATGTAAACACTTTACATTATTACAGCTAACTTACTAATAGTGTATTACTGCACTAATACTATTACTAGTAATAGTATCACCAGATCTGATTTAGCCTAACCATTATTAATTTTATTTTTCAAAAGCAAAACGAAAAAAAAAAGCTTGAACTAGTAAAGTAGTAGCCTGAAAACTTCTTCGTGTATAGTTTACATCAACATACATGATTATTGTAATAACTGTGAGTAAAATAATACGACTCAACTCTAAAACAGTAAAAGTGTAAACTCAGTAAAGTTGAAGGTTAACAGCAAAGTGTTACATTAGCAAAAGCAGCACGAGACACGTCCTCAATTCTGCACTAAATTATTACTTATAGAATCGAAAGTACCATCTTTTAACCATTTTTAAAAATTGGTTACTAACCTTTATAAATTAATTTTTCTCCGTTGCAATCATCATCGCTAGCTGCTTCCGCCATTTTAAATTCCCGCTCATTAACAAATAATTATACAAGTACGCCCTCTTTATTAGGTTTTATTTTCACATAATATTGTTTACTAAGTTTATTTATTATAATATTGTTTTCTACTTAAGTTTACAATATTTGACTAGCTTAATTTTTTAATTAAGCATAATTAACTATTATTCTTTGCCATCTCTAAGTTAAATTTACAAATTATATATTGGTTTGCTTTAAATCCGTGCATAGTGGGAGTGGACAGCGTTGATAATATTTATATACCCATATATATATATATGTCATGTTTAATTAAATCTCCATAACCTTTTTTATATTAAAGGTTTTTACAGCATGACTTTAAGAACTATTCTTAAACGTTGAAGATGTTCTTTTACATGAACAAAACGTTATACAATCAGCATTTTTTTTTACAAAACTTTAATTTTAAATCTGTAGAGGGCAAATTAAGACGATTGCGAAAGAAAAAACATATGTGGTTCATCGTGCTTTTATTATGAATATTATGTCTAATAATATTGGCCTAATAATTTGGCCCCGTTTTCCCACTCAAGGGTTTTAAAATCTTAACACTTTGCTTAAAAATCTAGGAAAATCAACTAGTAATCCTAAAATAACTCCTGAAGCAACTGTAATTTATTTTAAATGTTTTTTAAACACAAATATTGAATACAAGACAAGGGATATTATTGTTTCACTGTATAGATTACTTGTAATACCTAATTTGGAGTACTGTGTACAGTTTTGGGCTTCCTTCCTCAAGAAGGACATTGAATTGTTGGAGAAAGTTCAGAAAAGAGCCACTAGGGTGATACTTGGATGGTAGGATTGTCCTATGAGGAGAAACTAAAATCTCTGAACTTGTTTTCTTTGGAGAGGAATAGGATCAGAGGGAATTTGGTGGAAGTGTTTAAGATTATAAAGGGTATTGATAATCTAGATCCATCCAACGTTTTTGTGTTTAGCAGTGAAAGCAATAGGACAAGAGGTCATAAATTCAAATTTTGGCAGCGTAGGAGTCATCTGCAGTTTAGACAGTAATACTTTTCAAACAGGGTAGTTGGCTTTTGGAATGAGCTGCCTTCAAGGGTGGTGGAGGCAGAAAATTTAACTGAGTTCAAGAAAAGATTGGATGAATACATGAGTAGTAAGGGGTGGTTATAGTTGGGAGCTGGAAGCTACTTTTTGCCCCTTTATGAAATTTATGAAAATAGCTGCTTAACTTGCAAAGACTTGTCAGTTACTATTAGTCCTAGTTACAAGCATGAACACACATGCAGAAATTTTAGCTTTACTTTGAGTTAACAGAAATAAAACTCCAATGAAAAATGTGTTTATTCATTAAAAAAAGTAAAACAACATATATGCTTTATGGTATCACAAAGTAGCATATACAAAACAGCTAGTTAAATTGTAAATGATACAGTCATTTATTTCTAGTGCTAACTACAACTATGATCTTATTGTGTAGAACCTCAACTTTTACTTACCATTAAAATAAAGTTATTATCAATCCATATTTATTCGTAAAAAAGTAAAATAAAAGAACATAATATCCATGGGATTACAAATAAATAAATAAAAGTATCGAGACTCTTATATTTACGTTCCGAAAACAAGTGTATGTCGGTGCACTCATTGGCAGAAGCATTAATTGGCTGTTTACAGATTTGAACCCTTTCTCCAGCTAAATATCAAATACTGATATTTTTATCTTTTCAATTCATGACGACCCTAGATAGATGATTTTAATGTTGACACCGTTAATCTGTTTTTCATGATGCCGAACAAGTGTTCAGCCACAGTGTTTAATAATGAAAAAAAAACAAAAAACATTTTCATTAACTTTGGGAAATTGGGAAATAGCAAGGTACCATAAGGAAAACGTAAATAGTTGACACACCGCCAGTATTCAATGGAAGTAACCATGTCAATGTTCATCTCGACTTTGTGCTGCCCACTATTCGTCACTCTCTCCAACTGACCACTCTGAAAGATCAAGATCTTCTTGGCTCCAAAATTTAAGCATTCATAAGGTCTACAATCTTGGCAACTCGAATAATGGATCATCAAACCGGAATCTCTGGTTTATCTCACACATGACTTCTTTGTACAATTCTCTGAATGAAGAATATATCTTGGGGATTTCTTCATGGTTCATATTTGTATCAGATGTTTCCAGTGTGGACTCAGCTAAGATATACTTTGTTCAGAGGCATTTACTCACTCCTTCTTTCCTTTCATGGACTTAAATCTCACGTTGATGAAATAGGTAGCAAATGGTTTGATTAGTTCTCTGTTTCTTCAGAAAGCCCATCGCTTTCAAAGACAATGTTAAATGAACTGTGAATGCCCTATGCATAAGACATAAACTCAACCAAAACTATTATAATATTCTTTGGAAAACACTAATAAAACAAAATTGTGACTACATTTCTAACGGTTAGAACATATTATTCCTCATTTGGTTTCGTTACAGTTACATTGACTCGTCAAGAAATCTCGTGTTTCATTTTAATTAAGCGAATCCAATGATGCTTGATAAATAAACACCAAAATACTCGTTAAGAATCCAAACATGTAGTTAAACTGTTTGATGTTGTGATCTTAGAATAGGGGGTATTTTATTTTACCAGTAATGAAACAACGATCATGTTTCTAGTTGTTGTTTTTTTCTGGTTCTAAACCAAGAGCTTTATCAATCGATTTTTCTCTTCTAACTCTGGTGTTTTGCTTTGGTACTAACTGTATTTTAACAAAATTCTAGCTCTGGTGTTTTGTTTTAGTACTAACTGTATTTTAACAAAATTCTAGCTCTGGTGTTCTGTTTTAGTATTAACTTTATTTTAACAAAATTCTATCTCTGGTCTTTTGTTTTAGTACTAACTGTATTTTAACAAAATTCTATCTCTGGTGTTGTGTTTTAGTACTAACTGTATTTTAAGAAAATTCTATCTCTGGTGTTGTGTTTTAGTACTAACTGTATTTTAAGAAAATTCTATCTCTGGTCTTCTTGTTTTAGTACTAAATGTATTTTAACAAAATTCTATCTCTGGTGTGTTTTAGTACTAACTGTATTTTAACAAAATTCTATATCTGGTGTTTTGTTTTGGTACTAACTGTATTTTAACAAAATTCTATATCTGGTGTTGTGTTTTAGTACTAACTGTATTTTACGAAAATCCTATCTCTGGTGTGTTTTAGTACTAACTGTATTTTAACAAAATTCTAGCTCTGGTGTTGTGTTTTAGTGCTAACTATATGTTAACAAAATTTATTCGCGTTTTTTCGTCATTTCGTTTTTGTGTGTCGTTTCAACAACGACCTTTCCAGCTAGTTGTTATTACAAATAATATTCCTGTTTCTAAATGGGGTAAAATATTTAGGAACTTTTATCAACGCAACTAGCTCTAACTGGTTTACTAAAAGTGGCCACAAAGTTAGAGTTTAACTGCATCTTTCTAAATGTTTAATGATAGGATTAAAAATAGCCAGACAGAAGGTAAATGCAATGATGATAATTTTACATGCTAGTTGAGTTCTAACATTTATAAAGGTTGCTGGCGATATATATATATAATGTATTTTCAAAATTTTATTGTTATACAACTGAAAATGGTTTGGTTTGTTTTGAATTTCTCGCAAAGCTACTCAAGAGGTATCTGCGCTAGCCGTCCCTAATTTAGCAGTGAAAGACTAGAGGGAAAGTAGCTAGTCATCATCATCCACCGCCAACTCTTTGGCTACTCTTTTACCAATAAATAGTGAGATTGATCGTCATATTATAACACCCCTACAGTTGAAAGAAAAAGCATGTTTGGTGGGACGGGGATTGGAACCCGCAGATTGCGAGTCGAGCACATGGTCATGAACTGAAAATGGAAAACGTAAATTAAAAGTAGTTGCAGTGCTAAACACTAGATGGCAGCAAAGAAGGAAGAGGCAATTTCCAGAAGATTATATTAATCCCAGAAGATGTTTTGACTTATACAGAAGTTTAACTTTATTTAATGTAACTTTTCAAAATTGTTTAGACAGCTACATGATTACCAAAATAGGTTTCTGTATGTCCTTATGAGCCAAAATATGCACATCGCACCTATAATTTCTCAAAATCAATGAGACCTGCCTTGGGAAATATTACAAAGATCAAATTGACCTGTCTGACCGGATTCACTGAAATTATGTAGAAGTAAGAGGTTAATTTATTATCAACCAAACTGACCTGTCTGACCAGATTCATTGAAATTTGACAACAACAAAAATTTCCGCCTTGATATCTCCAAAGACAAATACGATACGTAAAGCTGTCACTAGAGGGAGAAATATCTCACCATTTCTATTCAGGGAAAGCACTGAAAAGGCGTGGATTGCCATTTATCGCAGAGTCAGTTATCCTCATAAGTGTCGTCGTCATGGTCTTGATTTAGCGTCTGAAATCTACGAGAATAACAAGGTGCCCATAACCATGGTATGAGACTTTGTTTATTCCCGAACTTATTTTCGTATTGAGTTGAAGCAATTAGATCTCAAAATGGTTAAAAAAAGTACGAGATAACGACAGAATGATGACATTTTACAACTCATAAAAGAATAAACAACTCATAAAAGTGAGAATTAAATTTTACATCGCTACAAACGATGTCTCCAAAAATGGCACACGTCTTTGTCGATTCCTCCAAACACACACAAATACCAGTGAATAATTATTTTGTAAACGTATGATTTGTTATAAATCCAAAAGTTAATGAAATACTTAAATTATGTTGATCTAAGTGATCAATCTAGAGAGATTATGGTTAAATTATGTTGCTCTAAGTGATTAATCTGGCGAGATTATGGTTAAATTATGTGGCTCTAAGTGATCAATCTGGCGAGATTATGGTTAAATTATGTTGCTCTAAGTGATTAATCTAGAGAGATTATAGTTAAATTATGCTGCTCTAAGTGATCAATCTGCGAGATTATGGTTAAATTATGTTGCTCTGTAGGCACTATTAGACCATCATGTAATT